ATATTTATGACGAAATCCATCCACCCGTCAACACGCTGTTTCAACTTTGACATACGCATACCAAATTGTAGTCTACGATGCGACATTGCAAACAAGCCAAAGTGTTTTTTTTTTCTTTGTTGCTATGTGCTTTTTTCCAGCACAAAACACGAAACATTAAACTTCATGTTCAATGTAATAGTCGCTATCAAGATTTTACCGAACTCCATTGTAAATGCTGCGTAATGCACGAGTGACAGTTGAAAACAATACGCACACGCACACACACAAGCAAGTAGTTCCAATTTGTTGTGTCGAATGGTCTTATCTCGTGCATTTCACATGTCATTCGTTACGAGATGTTTATTATGGCGTTTCCGTGCTGAAACCATTCTGCGCGACGAAATTGTTCATCAAAATCTCGAGACGCAGAGCGAAAGTTTAGCCAAACATAATGTTCCGTTGCACTTCTGACCGTATAAGTGCTATTGTCTTGCATATAGAATGCGGCTAGGCCACGTCGAGCGATGATAAGTGGCAAAAGCATTACACAAGAAAATGCATATTTAATTATACAGTTCGGCAGCTCAATCATGCTTATTATGTGTATGATAAGTGTAGAATCGAGTGCGTCGTTAAGACAAAAAGATGCGTTTTTTTTTATCGCTTGACCACGAAGATGTTCAACAATCCAATTTTAACCACTCCTGGTTATATATCACCACACATATGTCATCCGAAGGCATAGCGGGAAAAAATGGCAAGTAGTTCAATATATTTTAATAACAATTGTTTAATAAAATTTTATGCGCACTAAAAATTGATGGGAATTTCTTCATTTGGACACAAAAACTGCGCTTTTTTTCCTTCTTCAGCTGTACAAAGTAAAAAGAAGTAAAAATTCCATGCGCATTTATTATGATCGGCGCTCCGATAACGATTTACGGCAAACAATTCAAGGTAATTTGTACTCTTTTTTCTGCTTGCTCGCACTCTTTCTCTCCACCCATGTGAATTATTACAACATATTTTTCAAGACGCGTGACATCTCTCTTTCGTCTGAACACTCTCTCGACGCGTCCGGAGCAGAGCAGACGAAAAAAAAAGAGATTTCCATTTAAATGAATCATTTTTCGGCTTTTTGATGTTTCAATAAAGTCATTGATGATTAGTCAATGCAAATAACACTTGATATTGCATGGGTCGCGCCCAAGATGTAATGCCGAAATTGGTGTGTGTTTTTTTCCTCTCGTTGAATAAAATCGCGGAATTTTTCCATGAAATCTTTCTCATCACACACAAACACACACTATAAGTTATTTACGATTAAAAATCATCGTTTTGAGCCCATTTAAAAAATTCAATCACGTAAAAATTATTGTTTTATTGTGATTGCTGATAGTATAATGTCGTTGTGTTTTGTTTGTTTGTTTCTTTCTTCTTCTTTGCTCAATTGCAAATGATGATTAACATTTTTTTTTCATTTCTTCTCTCCTACATTAATCTAACGATTAATTGCAAATCATGCGCAGCATAGTACAAACGGGGGAAATTTTCATAGCATCGTTATTAATTAAGGTATTGGATTTTCCGCAAAATTCCAATTTAAATTGTGAGGAACAACAAATTGAAAATTGGATGATGAAAAAAGTGGCAACAAATAGCAACAAACACCGTGATTTCAATTGATTCCATTTCATTGTTGTGTTTTTACGATGATTATTAATAATGAAAGGATCGTAATTCCGATCGGTATTTGCATGATTTGACGCCGTTTTTTTTTTTGAATTAATCGCAGTGAGTGCGATTAAACATTGACTGTTACCGTCCGTAGACATGCAAAGGAGAGCAAGAGGAAATGAACTACTGTGTAAATGACTAATAATTCATTAGAATTCGATCTCTCGATATGAAAAGAATGTTTTATTTATGTTGTTGTTGTTGCATTGCGTGAAATGCGCCAAATTAGAACGTGGGGGAAAACCACAAATTATGTAAGCAGGCGCCCGTAATTTGGTTGAATTACACGATTTTACTGGCGCAAAAAAAAATAATTTGTCGCAGACCGAACGACAAGAAAGAGAGAAAAGATTTAAACATGAACTCAGACGGGGAACCTTCACAACCAGATGTTATCATCACCATTCATATATGAACAAAAAAATTTCAAATATTTCACGCATCCACGGCTCATTTTTGCGCTCGATGTGTGATGTCGCTTTTTTATAGTTTAGTTTTGTGAATTTTTTTTCGTTTTTGACAACATTTCTCATTTCAAAAGCAACAAAGAGAAATGACGAAGAAGAAGAAGGAAAAAACGCACGACGACGACGACAACAACAACAACATACTTCCATCGAAATCCCAGTTTTATTTATTTATCTCAATTCGGTGTGTGATTTTTTTCATTCGTTCCTTTGTCAACGTGACGGTGACGACGGCTACCAAAACGAAACAAATAAAAGAAACACAATTCAACAGACACCAAAATCCTCATATATCATCAATAAACACACTCGACTAGCCAGCGAGCGCGCGCGCGCACGAAATGAAATGGAAATAACGAATTAAAATGACGAGGAAAAGTGAAGAAAACAATGTCTTCAAGTTTAAGGTTACCATCGTTTACATTGTCAAAGATGAAAGATATTCCGGCCACGAGATAGGACAAAAAGCGGAACCATGGAGATTACGCAAATGAAATGGTCGTTTGAAGAAAACAACATGCAGATACACACGAGATGGAAATATTAACTTCCTCGCCATTTCAAATGATCAGCACATTGGCAATGTCATCGAGCATCATTGACAACAACAACAAAAAACTTGCTTTTGAAGAGGAAACTGAATATTTTCAAGCGATTAGGCAACAAACGAATGAATCTCATAAAGAGAATAAAATTTTCGAATTATGCAAATCGTACGATAATTTGAATTTTTTTTTTTGTTCTTATTGAAACTCGTTCAAATGTGCACATTTACCCAGTGACACAAAATTCGCTTTTACTTTCTGATGCACAAATGTGAAATGTTTTGTTTTGATTTGCTCGGTTCCCGTAACGGATTTCACTCAATTTCAGTTAATTTCAGTCAGCGAAAAACAAACAAAACACACTCATCGATTTCAATGCAAATTGACAAAAATTGCAATGCACTGAATATTGAAATCAAGTCCAAAAAAATCGGTTTTCAATGTGCAGTGAGAAACAAGTGCGCGAAATATGTGGCTAATGTAATTAAAAAAAAAGCTCAATATTTATTAAGGTAAATGCCGTTTTCGTCAACGCTGTTGTTTCGTGTGTGGTGGTTGTCGTCGTCGTCGTCTTTGTCGCGCTGCTCGCGTCGTCACTCTTTACACTGCCGATTAAATAGTTGATTTTATTTTCATCTGTTGGCTGGTCATTGTTACGACTATGTGTTTATTAAAACGAATGGAGAGAGAGAGAGAGAGAGAGAGAGAGAGAGAGAGAAAAAAGTGTGCATGGCGTCGAGACATGCACACAGTTGCGCGAGCGCAAGTATTACATCTTTCTGGAATGTCGTTCACATTGTAATGTGCACACGAGATGCAATGCAACTCTCGTACGGAGCGATACAAACGATAGAAAAAGTGAGCATCTGACAAAATTGAATACCAAACACACGCGTAAACGCATACACTTGTCACGCCGTTTTAAAATGTCTATTTTATGCGATTTTATGTCACTCGAGTCATCAGTTACTCGGTTGTTTTATTTCTTCTTTTTCGCTGCCAACTTCTTTCTTTCTAGAAAAACGACCAATGAAACGAAAACGAAAAATTGCGCAAAAATATTGGACAAAATCGTAAGAAAAAAAATTATTATTACGAATTGTTTGAAGATAAATCATTTGGCGCATTTTATCATGTAACAACACAAAATTAACGCAAGAAATTTGGAAAACGAGTCATTTTGGATAAATTTGCCATCTCTCAGTAATATGACGTTGGTTTTGTGCTCTCGGTGCGTCTCACTGATAACAGTTGGAAATGGTCATGGCTTCAGCCACGGATCATTGCATCAACTCACTGACGGTGATAATTAACATCAAATAGTAGATTGTAGCTTCGCTGGTTTCACGTGTATGTATTTTTGGAATATTTTCGTGCGATTACACGGTGGAATTGGGAAATCAACGTTTGTCCATTTTATTATAGTTTGGCAGTTTTATAATACTCGACATAATATTACCGATTTCAAATGAAAATACAGTGAATTTTTCGGTTCACAATGTAAACAGTTGAATTGTTCAGGTTATACAAAGAACACACACAAGCACAAACACACCGTTCGTTTGGATCATCTAACCAATTACCCAAAAACAAATGATTGATTGTTTTGACTGTGTGGCTAGAAACAAAGATCGTTTTCTTCCTCTTATTTTTGCGCCTAGTTATGCACCATCTCTCTCAATCCTCACTGTCTCTTCATCATTTCGCAAAGGAAAAAGTTGTTCACTATCAGCTTGACTACATACGTGCCGCTTCTTTTTTTAATGTTTGACTGAATGTCATAATTCCGGCCATTGTCTTTGCATCCGTAGCTGTGCTCTGTGCTCGGCAAGCAAGCACAGATAAAATGCCACTGATAATTGCTATTGCCAAATTGACGGCCGCCGAACATGATTTACAGCGCACATGAATAGAAAAGACAACAAATAAATAAACACATGTCATTGTTTGGTTTCGAGCGAATTGTGTCATCTGCTGCTGCTGCTCTGCTGCTCCAACGATTTGAAAACTTTCATTGCGATTACAGCATAAAAACAAAAACTATGAAATCGAAACTAAAACACAAGAAGACGACGACGAAAAAAGTCGCAAAGAAAACAAAGTGCTCGATTTTTATGCGCGACCCACCAATATCGTTTACACAAAACGATTCACTTCTCGACAAACGTTTTGTTTTTTTTTTTTGAAGCGTTGTTGTTGAATCTATTTTTAGATTTCTTAATATATGAATCAATGGAAAAAAAAAATTCAAACGCTTTGAAATACTCACATTAGACGCGCAATCGAACGGATGGTCTCCTAAATGTACTTCCGCAGACAAATTGGCAAATATTATTTCAATATTTTTTCTCTCTTTCTTTTCTGTTCTTTACCGTACGGTTAAATTGGTCGAGAATGAATCGGGTCACTTGTTTGAACTTTTCTTTCAATTTTCAATTGCACTATTGAATTATCGCGATTCGAGCTGGTTTTGTGGACGCGTGTCACAGAGAAAATGAAAACCGAATGAAATTCAATAATTGATTTGATCACCACAATGTAAATTTGATCTCCCGGTACTTTGGATGATAATCGTCTTTATAGAATGTTTTGTGGTCGAATGCAGTAAAATTGTATGATCGTTCTTGACTTTATTCACCGTTGACATTTTTCTATCAATTAATTTATGTTGGATGGTTGATGATTATTTTCAATTTCTTGAATGACACCAATCTGCATCGCCTCGTTACACAATGGCTTCTTCGATATAAACAACCCAAAATTCTTCGCTATTAGACTTTTTTTTTCTCTTCTTCTGTTACAGCATAAATGTTATTTGATGTGCACATTCAACACAATATTGTTCACAAATTGGTAGAAAAAATACAGCACTATGTGTTCTTTGTTCAGTGTCTGGCCTCTTTGTTGGTTTTTCTTTTTTTTTTAGTTTATAAATTTTTCTTGTCATAAAAACTCGTTTATTTATTTGCTTTTAGCAGTTTAACTACGATTTTCACTCGATTTTTCAAAACTATTTTTATGAATTCAATGACTTTTGTTAACTTTTTCATCAAACTTTTAAGAAAAATGCGATCAAACTGGGCAAAAAGTATGTTGCAAACGTTTTTTTTTTGAATTCTGGAAAATTCAGGATAAAATCCTTTTTTCCTTTTGAAACGATCCTGCTCAGACACCGATCAATCGAATGTATAAAACCACAAATGAAAAAAAAAACGATCACAAACAATTTTTCAAAGTTCTGTCGTTTCCAGCGACAAAAAAAGCACAGAACAGCTTATGGCTCCAAAATGGGTATACAATATGAATATTTTTTGTTCAACTTCAAGTTTTGGCGGTTAGCTCACGAACGAAAAACACTTTACGTGCGATGAGTTAAAACATCGATAGCGAAATGAAAATAATACCGATCGTATGCCGCTTTTTCCACTCCTTTTATTAATCAATGTACTTGTTGCTTGTTGTACGCTTTTCGCGTATGTGTGCAATTTTGTGTGTGCTGTGTTGAGCTTTGGTTGCCGTTGCTGCCGTGGTTGCCGTTACTACGACACCACACCACACAGCACAATACACCACAGCACAGCTCAACTCACTCAAGCAGTAAATCTTTAGCGCAACGGAGCACTTCATTTAACGCAAGCTCAACGCTGTGTCATATGTGCTTGCTTCCACACACTAAACCGCTCTTTTCTTCAGTTTTTCTCGGGAATTGTATTCGGTTGTTGAGCTATCGGTACTTTTTTATTACTTGATCATCGGAAGCCAGTTTAATCATCACCAATTTATTGATCGAATCTCGTCGAAAACTAAGAAAAAACACCAAAACCTTGATAATTTGTTGTATTTATTGTCTGAGGTCGCTGATAAATACGAGGTTTATCTGCAATAAAATAAAAGTCGGAAATTTTTGTCTCAAATCACAATGTTCCGATCATAAATCATCGCATCAATAGATTATAGCCCATTTGAATATTAATTGGTCGACGCTTTAAAGTGATATTTTCCTCGAGCATTCTTTTTTCTTCATTTGAATTAGCGCTTGATCTTGTTGCACCTATGTTCGCTTTATGCAGATTTTCGATGAAAACAAAAGCTAGCCTGATAACAGAATTATCGGTTCTGTTTACCTTTTTCTGCTATTCATTTTCATTTTTGCAGTGGAGCGATGAACGAAGGAAAACAAAAATGCAAATCAAAGCGAAAAAAGTATAATGTAAACACAAAGAGATCCATCGAGACACATACATGCAAGGGCAATCTACAGAGGCTGTCGACGACGACGACGACGACGACGACGACGACGACGATAAGCCGTAAGACGCATTCAAAGGCGTTTTCCGCCAAACCGAATAGACGACGTTTACGACAACGACGGCGCGATGGCTATTTTCGTTAAATACACTAATTTCAATGGTATATTCCCCCGTAGTGCTGTTTGTTTTCGTTTTGCGAATAGTTCGTCCATCGAAATGTATGCGCTTATATGTGTGTATGCGTACGTTGTGTTGATCGTTGGCTCGTTGACGGGCTTTTCCAACAACTACCTGTTTCTGTCTTACTCGTTACACATTTGTGGAACTTTGGCAAATGCGATAACGTTTCAGCACACGAAAACAAACCAAATAGTCGATCGGCACACGCATGTGATCGTCTAAGTTTGATACACGGTTTGCAGTATGCACACACGCATGCGACCATTTGAATGGTTGGCTTTACCACACGATAAATTATGAAGTGCAAAACGAGCCGCTTGATGCATTTTCGGGGCGAGACACAACATGTAAGAGTGGAGCCGGATCATCAGCTGGGAGCTGCAATCACCATTCGGTGGTTTACATGATTTAATGCTCATTGTAATCATGCCAAAAATAAACAATTCGCATCAAAAGTAATTTCATTGCAATCGAGATGACACTCATACACTCATGACACGGCTGATACACTTAAGATTGCGCGATTTATGCAACAATAAAAATGATGATAGTGTGTGGGATTTTGCGCAGTTTTTTTTCTTCTTCTTCGATTCCACTGTGTCTTGAATTTCGGCATATTCACTTCTTTTGATGATCATTCTCTCTAGTTTCGCGATTTTTCAGTGCAATTTGTCCTTTTTGGTCACTTTGAGCTGTTTGCCACTTCTTTCACTCTATTCGTTTGTTCACACATCTATTTACAATAACCACTTTATCATTGTTATCAAGCAGTAATGATCTCATTCATTCATAAATGGGTAAAAACCATTGATTAAGCTTCTTATTGTGTTTAGAATGTGAACAAATTTCGAATTATGCAAAAAAAAATCTTTCCCGTCACACATCCGGAGTGCGCCGTTGTAGAGTAAACCCCCTTTGAAAAACAGGATTTTATTGTTCCTGCATTCCAAGTCATCGGACACACACTATAAACACTGTCATACAAGTGATGAAAAAGGAAAAAAAAACAGTCCAAACATTTCATTTTTTTTTTGTTAAACTTTAAGGTAAGCACGTAATTCATTACGTAGTTTGCATATCATTTCCTTAGTTCCGTGCATATTCCACAAAATTTAGAACTTGGATGACAATCGTGTTGTGATCGTATTTGTTATGGGGGAAATAACAAATAGCTTAATAAACAGCAGCATATGAATGATGATATCGATAGTGAGTCTCAAAAATTCGAATGCTCTATTCATTGCTGTTCGCACATTTCTGACTCGTTCCATCGAAAATCAACAGATAAATCGTCTTCATCGTGTGTAACGGTGACTAATCAAACAACACAGGAAATTTACATTTAAAAAAAACGTCCGGCTGTTTTTTCCCCACATTTCATACACTCGATTATTTATCGACTCGCTCGAATATACGCATTTAACCCATTCGACTAGAAATAGCTATTTATATCTATGTATGTTTGCATTTGAAATTAACTTTGATATGATAACAACATTTCGAGTTCAATGCGAAACTGTATCGGTTTTTTCACATTTCCAAATGACTTTGAAAATTCAAAGCAATTTTCGATTGCACGATCCGGCTAACCGGCTGTTGTTCAGAAAGTTATTGCTCCCATTTTATCGGTATCGATCTCAATCCATCAGCACTGTTAAAAAAAACAAAATCGAACATCCGAACAATGTCAGTCGCAAATGTTCATAGAAAATAAAGTAGAAAGACACAGATTTTGCTCGAATCGATTCTTCGCTCGTTTTTTTCCCCATTCGAAAGGTCAAATTATGCACATTTTTTTGCTGTTCGTCCGCCTTGATCGTGTGTAAATTGAGATCGGTTTGCATTTAACTATCATATATGTTTTTTTTTATTGACTAATTTTCATCTCTCAGCTACTGTTGTTAAAAAGCTACACCTGAAAACCAAGTCAATCAATCAAATATCAAATTGCGTTTGCGAAAAATCAACACAATTTAATTCGAATTCGCATTAACGCGCGTCTGTGCATTGTACACATACACTCACATCGGCGCTGAACGCCGAATCGAATCGTATCGCGCAGAATCGAAATGATTCAAACTTCGAAACGATTTCTTGTTTTACGAAGAAAAAAAATTTGTATAAATGCACCTACTTGCAATTGACTTAACACATCGAAGGTCGCCACTATTAGTTATGCGTGTAAATGTGTTTTGGTCGGTGTGTGAGTTGCTATTTCGTTGTTTTTTTTTTCGTTCGCTATTCTTCTCTGGACGAATTTTGTTTGTCCATTTTCGCATCGTTGCTGATATTTTCCATGCAAATATATGTTGCAAACTTTGTTATCCATAAGTGAGAGATGATCATTTATTGTGTGCGAACACCGCCACGTAAATTTGTTTTTCCCAATCAAATTGATTGTCATGTCTCAATTTCCTAGAAGTCTTATTCACTCTTTCGACACCGAGAGAGATGCCCGGAGATAATCTTTTGTTTTAGAAAATGGATTTTAATTGAGCCAGACATTTTAAGAAGTGATTAAACGAGTATAATTACACCAAAGATTACGCGGCGGTTCTTTCGATCAAAAAAAAAGTCGAAAGCGCACACGCTTGCTTGCGGTCGTGTGTATCGTGGAAAGTTGCATTGGAATAATTTTATGCGATAAATCGTTTCAAAAACTACTGAAAGAATAAATAATTGCTCGTAGTATATGTCGTGTCCATTGCTATTAAAAGTAGGCCCAATCAGTGGAGAGAAAACTACGGAAAAATAACGAATCAAGAGACGAGAGGAAAAAACACACGACGTCAACGAAAAAAAAAACAATAACAAAACAGAATTGAATTCAAGTTTTTTTTTCTTCGCATAGACTTTGATTTGAATTAAATGCATAATTAAAACTAAATGCACAATTTGATTCGATTGAACCTGAAAAAGGCAGTGTGCAGTGCTTGAAATTGGTAGTCGATCGGAGTCAATCAGCTGGACACTGGCGAAATAACGCATTTTGAAACAATGAACACAACAACGAAAAAAAAAATGTAATGGTCAAAGGGGAACTAACTAACGATGCGCCGTTTGCCATTGCAGTGTATGTTTTTGCGTTTGCCTCAACAGCAGGCCTATACGGTTTTTGTGTGGCTACCGACTTTTTTTTTCCTTCTCCTTCTTTTTCGTTAGTTTTTCTTTCAGCTTATGTTGCGTTTGAAATTTTGCGTTTGTTTGTCCATTTTATTTGTGGACCGAATTCAAAAAGTGCGCATGAAAAACTGATATGGAAAATATTAGCAAATGACACAAACTATTCACATTTTGCTTCTCTTTTTTTTTCGCTGGAAGTCGTCACGCATGACAATGCTGATCTCTCAGCCGTGAATTTAATTCAAACGCAAAGAATAACATACAGCCGAACATTGCACGTGGTAGCGCCAAGAATGACTGTACATTCTTGTGTGCGTGCGTGTGTGTACTGTACACGGCGATTGATATTGATTGGATTTATTTGCTTCGTAAACATTGTTCGCAAAGGAATTTAACATTGTCAATGCTTCGATACATGCGGCAAACGTGCAGCCGATGTACTTGTACACACATAAATCGAGTAAAAGCTTTAATTAATGGAAATGACAAAGAAACATGTACACACACGCACACATCCACATGCACACCGATAAAAATGCATGATATTGCTGTGCGATACAAAGTTCTTACCATCGCAAACGGCAAACGACAGACACAACTTTGGCTTCTGCGTTCGAAAAAAAAAGAAACAGATTCTTACCCGATATTGAGTTTGAACTCATTACAAAGGAAAAAAAGAAGCAACACACAAATAATAAAATGAAATAAAATGCATTGAAAAAATAGACCATTTTTAGATTGTAACACTGGATAGAATGTGTGCGCGCGCGCGCGCGCGAACATCGCATGCACTCATATTCCAATGCAGTATTCGTCGGTCGCACTCTATCACACTGTGCCCAATGCACGCATTGCATGATTCGAGTTCATTTCGTGTTCAAAGTCCAATGCAATTGGTTGTGCAATACAAAGAAGTGTAACTTCTTATGGCAACGATCGTATAAATAATGGAGGAGTACATTGAATGAATGTTGCGTACTCGAATCGATGCATTCAGCAATGCTTCACGTCGAAGAGACGAAACGAATCGTTGAAGAGACAAAAAAAAAATCACTAAAGTGCGCACACAGCCCACGCGCTCAAGGTCGTGAATGCCTCTTCGTTTCGTGCAATCACCATCTGAGAACGGGTGCAGAAAAAATAAGATGGCCAAAAGGAAAAAGTATTTCGTACAAGTGCTATCGAACTCTTTTACACACATACACACATACACATTACATTGCGACAAACGAAAAGAATCAACGCATAGCGTTTATCATGTTTAATCATAGGACACTTTGACGTTTGGTTGTAGCCAGCAAATGGCTGCTATGGCTATCAAAATCAAACACTTTCAATACGAAGAATAATGTGAAAAGAAGAAAAAAAAACATGTTAAAATAAAGCAATTGATATGCGGTAAAAATATGCGATAAATTCGCCATTTTTACGCCACAACGCGTCGATCCGGCAAGATGGTATCGATGTTCGTTTCGTTGACCGATCCGAATAATGCTAATGTGTAGATGCGATGACAAAAATTAAGCACACAGAACATGAAGAAACAACTCTAGGCAATCGATACAAAGTAATGATTAAAATTAATTTTAACGTTGTGATATGGGTTTGACCCCCTAATCAAAAGTTTAAAAAAAAAGACTGTGACTGTGTGAACGGTGGTATTAATCGTCAAAGTACATCTCATTTAATTACGGCATTTTTTTTTGTATTAAACATTAAAGAAGAGAACTCAAGTCAAATGAGCTATTACTAAAGCACGATGCAACTGTTGTTTCAACTAAAAAGTGAGCTGTTGGTATTCGCGAAGAAAACTCGGCTAAAAATAAGCGAATCGACCAGTTTCGAATGGAATCTGAAGAGGTTTGAATTTTCTGGTTCCATCGATCCAGTTGATACACTGTTCTTGTATAGAAGTTTATTAACTAATTGCAGGTTACATCGAAATGCACGGTAACATAATGGTGTACAACCAAACTGACTGAAGTTCCCATTCCAAGATAAACATGGCAAAACCATTGTTGATTACAAATTTACAGGACAATTATTTACAAAATGACGCCATTACAGCAGCAAGCCTGATTTCGATTGGAATTTGACTGGTTTTTGCATTGTTGCCGCCATCGTCGTCGTCTGATTACTCGTCTCTCAGCCATCTGACTACTGGAAATTGTATCACATTGAAGAATTGAACAGAATTTCTAAGCAAAAGCACTGGATTGCAACCAAACATCGACGAAAACATCGGCTCAACCGAGAAAATGAACAAAAATAACGTGACCCAACTGATTCCATTAAAAAGACGAGATTGTCTTGCTTACATCTTGAAACAACTATTTACTCGCTTATTGTAATAAAGCAGCATTTTTCGGCTTAGTTTCATTGCGGTAGAATGTGATTGCGCCGCCGTTGAATCAACAAATTGAATTGGTCTTTAACCTTGACCAGAAACAATTCACTTGATTTACTGACCCTCTTTGCAAGCCGAAATAAATAAAAAAAAAAACAGAATTCTTACTGGAAATTAAATCAATAAAACTAACCGACCGAAATAAACACACAACGTAACCCAACACACAAAAAAACCGCAATGAAACAACGGAAAATGCAATGACGAACATTCGAATCAAATGAAATTTATTCACAAATTTATAAATAGACATAAAAAGTCTCGTTAATTTGACCAGAATATACTGATTTGAATAAATTAATCGCAGAAAAGAAGACGACAACAAAAATTTGTTAAGTGAGACCAAAACAAAAGAATGAAAGTGAACGTGTCCTAACATATCTTAATCTAATCCCATGGATGATAACAAAATGTGAAAAGAAAAAAAAGTTTGTCGAATAAAAGAGTTTCATGCGATTTAGCGATGGATCATACAATCGAAATGGTGTGTGTTCACGTTCAAGAGAGTTCATTTGTCCACATGCAGTCGCAATCAAAGTTGATGAGAAGAAATACGAGTAAGAAGAGAAAAAGAAGGAGAAAAAAAAAACACGGTTACCAGAAATACGCACGCCGAAAATAAAAGTTACACACAGTCAACGGCCCAGTGACACTCACTCACGTTGTGTTGACGGTATTTGTTTCGTCTCTTCTTTATTTTTATATTAATAAATATTAATGAGGTTGTAAGTTATTAAATTGGAGGTTTTTATCGGACGATAAGCCAGTGAAATAGCTGTTACCTTCACACACACACACACACACACACACACACAGAGAGAGAGAGAGAGAGAGAGACAGCGCAACCATTTTTCGGTGTTTTGACTACATTTAGAGTTATCGCCAATTAAATCGGTTGAGTCTCGTACAGGAAATAAACTTATTGTGTTAGGAATTGGCCGTTATGAGATCCGTAAAGCACGTATACAATGCACGACACCGTGCTTATGTAATGGGTATGTGTGTGACCCAGTGCAGAGATTACGACAAAAAAAAACCGAGTGAAACATTGCACGAATTTCTCACGTAATTATCATTTGTTCTAAGCGAATCTATGGCAATAGGTAAAATATGAACAAAAATTACACAAAATGATACAGAGGCGGGAATCACGTTAGCGTGTGGTTCGTTGCCTGTTGCCGGTGTTGAACGCGCGAAAATACCAAAAACCCGCTGAATGTCACCAGTTTTGCAAAAATCCTTCGGAATAAAAGTAATGTGGCTGAGGTGAATCACCGTTACACTGAAAGTTTATCACCGCATAGTGGAACAGAGAAAAACATACAGAAGAAATACAGGAAACCAGTCGGAATCAAAGAAACGCGCGACCCATCATTTGGAAACTTCCAAATTCGTTTCAGATTCAGATAAATCTCTCACTCGTATACTCATTAGCTTAGAGATTATTTTCATTAGAATTTATAAATAAACGCGCGAACATGTTATGTATATCACGATATCATCATTGAGGCATTATCATCGTATCATCGGTTAGAAAAATAAAATATCAACAACATTCGATAGGCACCCACCGAATAGAACAATAGCGAGGAAGAACGCGACTGACTGAGGTCAAGTGACACTATTAATTTTTTTCTATTTTCAATTCGAAAATATGATATGAATTTGACATAATCATAATATCGACGAGAGTCCAAGATAGAGATGAGAGCATCTCGGGCACAAATCAAAATTGTTGACAATAAAATGCGCACACGTTCACATTGAACGCAACTTACGACAGGGTGCGTGCTATTTTCTGCTTTACCACAGACTTTGGCTTGCTGTCATTTTATGATTTTCGTTGCTTTTTTCATCTTTTAAATGATCTTTTTTCCACATGTGCGATTATTATAATTTGTATTCTTTTTTTTCGCTTCTCTTGACATCTACTTTTGATCCGTAGCACAAATGGCGGCGGCGGCGTTAAGATACACACACACAAATCGCGACCGATATCAACCAATCATTAACGAGCTTTAAATTAATTACAAGTGAAAAGTCTTGACATTATTATTTGATTAATTCGTTATTTGTTTGCTCGCACTCGCGTTCGCACCCTGCAATTCTGCGTTGTTGCTTTTATTTCAAGATGCAAATACGAAAATTTGCATCGCAACTATTAAATAAGTTGCCGGACGAAGATTGAGAAAAATGGTAGAAATTCAAGTGGATTTCGAGAGACGGGCTAATAAGGCCCATTTTTCAAAATAGCTTGTAAATATGTTAATGAGTAATAGAATGCTTAGCGCTTTTTTTTGTCGCATGATATCTAAATCAAATTCACACTTGACTCACATGTCGTCGGGTACACAATGTATGTGAATGTGTGCGTGAGCGTAATGTACATGTTACACGTTCATGTGTACTCTTTGTTCGCTTCATCTTTCGCCTCGCAACTCAAATCGGACATATACATTTTCATTAAAAAAGTGTAATTTACTGGCGTGGCAGGGCAGCAGCGTCGTCAATAATTTATGTCAGCTTGTTTCACATTTTTAATTGCTCACGAAACATAATCCATATCAGCCGTAAACAATTCTAACATCATAATTACCGTGAATGACAATTAAGATCCGAATTCCGAATGGGGCAACTGAGTGAGAGAGGAAGAGAGAGGGAGAGAAAAATTGATGGCAACGAGCAGACACACACACTCGAAGTAAAAGACACTTGCATTATAATAAAAGTAAATGCTTTTTGCTTGAAACGGAGACACACAGCAACAACAACAACAACATCAAAATAAGAGACATTTGATTCGGAGTTCGGAGTCATTGCCTTGTCGGTCAGGCTAGCCTGAAATGACAGCTGAAATGCAAATGCTTCTCGATGATGTCAGATGATTGTTATATGAAACTCTCGAATGTTAGCAAGTTGTCAGTTGGCTGACATTAATTGTTGCTTATCGATTGATTGTGTGTTCACACTGAACAATAAATGAAAAATCATGAAACCAATTTTGTGGACAATGTAACACACATATTCAACGGAATTCATCATAATTCACATTTATTATGTGCGAATTGCTGGTCATCTAATTGTTTTCATTTATTACTTATTATGTGCGTTACCATTTTTCGCAATGCGAAGTCAAACGGTTGTTGTTTTTTTTCTTTTGTTTTCTGCGTTAATTACGTGAAAGTGACGTCTTGAAATGTTTACCACATCCTGAACAACAACAGAAAATTTGTTTATCAAATTATGCGATTTGTTTTCTCTGCTTGGGGCACATGTTCGATAATTACAATGGCACCTAATTACTTTGATGCGTTCTTCTTTTAATTTCATTCAAACTACATCAATACTATTGACTCAATAGAACAGAGTATATTCGATAATTACTCACATTACCGATATATTGTAATAATTGGAGAGAATGGCGATTCCGTTGAAATTTTATGCCGGGCCAACGCGATCGACGGAGAAATGATAATAAACAAATAAAACAATCAAATCAAGACATTCACATCGAAATGACGTTCATTCGACCATTTATGAAGGAAAATGAAAAAAAAAACAAAGTCGAAGAAGAGCAATGTGAGTGCAGCGGGGCCTAGATGCAACGCAACAGACAGAGATGCACGCGTACACCTCGAAGTGTGCAAACACAAAGTGCACATCCGCATACGGAATATCATTACTACGGTTGGCTGGTGTATTCTATACCCAGAATTGCACCTCGTGTAAACAAATTGTTTTGATGTGCCTGCGACACGACTGACTTTTTGCACGTATACCACAATCAATTTGGCCGTAGATCGTAATGGCGCGCGCGCTCATTTCCTCGTCTACTCTCTTGCTAATTCAATTATTCGCCAATCAAATTGAGAAAAAAAGGCAAAACAAAATGCATCTAATTGAATCAAGGCATATTAATTGCACTATCCCCGCAGGTGAATTGTGAGATGCATTAAACAGATACTAAAATTAATTTCAAGAAGAAACGATAAAATTGGCTATGATTGCAGATTGCGCGCGATGTGAAGGTGCGCATGTGGATGAAATTTTGATGGGTGTGCTTTAGAATCAAATTCCATTCAAACGATACACCTGAGTGCATTCGATGTAAAAAAAAAACCGCTACACAAAATCGAAACTTTGGACTAATCCGGAATTCGTATCCCTAATGATCCCCTAATGAATGGCTTGGAGCGAAAATGTAATACAGAAAAGTTGAGCGGTCAAAAATGTCAAATAAAAAGGGATAGCTATATAGTTCACTATAGTTTACTATACAGTTTACTATATAGCTATCCCTTTTCCGCTCATTCATCATTGACATTTTTCCGCTCAACTTTTCTGTATTACATTTTCGCTCCAAACCATTCAATTTCAGTATAATTAAATTGAATTTAACGAAAACACTAATTATAATTAAGGGAAAAAATGCTGATTATTCCATAATTAATACCGAAAAGAACGTGGCTCATGCTAATTTCAATCAAAAATTCATTTGTGGGCGTTGATAATGAGATGAGGAAAGTTTTATTAGAAATTGTCTAGTTCCCAAAAATGGTTCACCTCAAAAGCCCTCATTGAATCACATTCAGCCACTGCTCGGTGCTTTGCTCTTAAGTACTTGCATAAATGTTTTCGCATTTTTTTTTGCGCAAATAAAAAACTGAAGCGAACGCGCTCGAATCGTATGTGTGCTGTATTCCGGCCGCCACAACGTAACTAGGTAAGCATTTAAAGTCCAATGAATATCTATGTTAAGTTCGACGCTATTATCTCACACACGTTTATATAATATCTATGAACGAAACAAAAGCATTACCGCACATAATCTATACCGTAAATATGAACAGACTTTGCCAAACGGTGTTTATCGCTTTTTTCGTTACATCTTTTTATGTGTTTCTTTTTTCGTCTTCACTCTTTCTGTCTTCTTC